ACGTGCTTCTCATTTTCATTCTCTGCTAAAGGAGCCAACAGCTTGCCACCTTTTCCCATAAAAAAGCCTATCCCTTGATCATCTATTCTTACTGTGAGTCTCTGATAGCCGACTGAGGAATCTGTCACATYTCACTTAGCTTAGTCACAAATACATAGCAAYAAAACATTAAACCAGCCTTKTCTCTTATTTGGCTTGCAGCGATTYCTTTTTCTTCTGGAAGSGAKTCTTTGAGAGCCTTGTTTGTASCGAAGSGTTCAGTGCGGCTGGCGCTGAGTCCCTGAGGCAGCGAGCGGCCATGCCTGTGGCGGGGATGAGTCTTCGCTGGGTCCCGCTCCTCCTGCAGCTCGGCTGGCGAGAGTGGCTGCCACCCACGGGGACAAGTGCAGCATGTCCCCGTCCCTGCAGCGCGTCCCCATCCCCCCAGCGCCCTGCCCACTGCCYCAGCCCTTCAGGTCGCTCCGGGCTGTGGCTGCCGCTGTGGAAGCCCAGTGAGACATCAGACGTGGCCTCTTCAAGCTCACAGTGTGCGGATGCTGTTCACCTTTCCAGTCCCCAGGCCTACGGGATTTTTGAAGTGGCTCAGCGATGAGTGTAAAATTAATTTTTGTATTGTTTAGTTAAGAGTCAGTGGCTACAGAATAGTTATGAGTGCAGTGTGGKTGCACCAGAGGAAAATGTTTTAATGGGTTACAGAGCTGTGCGACAGGAGAATGAGTTCAGCAGCATTTAATTAACTGCTTGAGTTGAAGCCCATAAAAAGAAATACAGCTTGTCTACAAGGCTTCTTTGTGAGTTACAGCGCTTTATATGTTGTAATAGAGAAGTCTGTTAGAAAGCTAATTAAAAATTTATCTGTACCAATGTTTTTGGAAGGACTTGGAAATGTTTGAGGGTTAGATTATTGAAGATGTGCTGGAAGAAGAAAATCATTTTAAGGAAGTGATTTCTTTTGGGCATTCCACAGGGACTGCTTTGTTGAAATGTTGAAATGGAAGTCCTGTCATCTGGTTTTCCTGAGCATGGTGTAATAACTTTACATGGCATCGCAGCACAGTGTTAATCTGAGAAATTAAATGCACAATCCAAAAGTGAAAAATACTCATTGTATAACTCTYACATGGTTATGCTGGTGTAACACATTTTCTTTTTTACCTCTGAGGAGATTTTTCTTCCCACTTCCATCACTACTGACATTCTCTGTGAGTACAGAGAGCTGCACTGAGCTGGAGCTGTCAGAGACACACAGAGGAATAGCAGCGTGTTGTTATCCCTGTTTGCAGAGAATTGTGYAGTCCCTGATAAGAACGCTCTGCTGGACTGAGATAATTAATTGCAGCAAAGGTGAAGGTTTGATAGAGAACTTGCTGGGGATTTGCAGAATAGTCTGACTCTCCCTGTACCTGATAAAAGACAAAACATTTCCCAAGGAGAGCAAACTAAGGGAAAGGGTTGRTTGATCTTTTTTCTATCAGAAACTTTCCAGTTTCTTTTCTGAGCGCAGCTATTCTTTTGTTCTCCACAATATCTTGGGAATCTCAAGTCATATAAACATGTATCCCTGTTTAATAATTTAAGATGGGGAGTCTGACACCGTGTTTTGCCGCGGTCAGAGACACAGACACAGACATCAGCTTAAAGAATAGTGTGTGTCATTTACTGTAGTGTAAAACTGCAAAGACTCACAGAAGGATAAGCAGAAGAACTGCAAAGAATCACAGAAGGATAAGCAATGCACCTGATCATTGCTACAAAAGAAATGCCTATAGTGATTAAGAAAGTTACATCCCCAGTTACCCTGATACTTTACCATCATCCATGTCCACACATCAACTCTAGGGGGAAGCTGACACAGCAAACCGGAGAGCCACACCCAGGAACTGGGAAATCCTGTGGTGTATCCATGTTGCAGGCCACAAGGCCCCCCAACTTTGCTGTGACAGTAGCTCAGATTTTATACTGTGAATCAAAGAAGCTGACACAATTTCTGATTTCATTCTCCTGTTGTCTTTCTCCCAAAGCCTRGCTCGAGCTCAAGGAGGAACCAAGGGAGTTGTCTTTGATCCTGTAGCCCCCTAATAATTGGCCATATCCCCTTTCTAGATACAAAATGGTAAATACATGTTTTGCCCATAAATGAACACATATAACAATATCTCATTAATGTGKATAAAACCAATATTCATAACATTTTCCAGTTAGAGATCAACTTTGGCTCGGGTCCTGTGGTTCAGGCCTTGGTACTTTATACTATCACTAGGTTTTCCATAATTTGGTACTGACAAAGTAGTCCTTCCTCACTTTCCACAGCCATCAAGAAGTTCAGGCCACTCCACGGTCCATCTCTACGATTCATTTTCAAAATAAAGAGCTGAGATGTGCACAGGCCCGAAGGTGCAGAGTCAAATGCAGCTGGATGACAGCAACAGCACAGCTTTTTGGCATTTGTCAAGCTATGTGGCCACACAACCAGGCATAGAAGGATGAATTAGCCACCTCTGCCTTCCAGCACTGGCTGTAGGAGCCACAGTGGGGATGGCCCATGCCATGCAGCAGCTGCTCAGCTGCTTTTTCCTGCATCTACATTGGGTGCAGAGTGACAGAGACCTGGAAGCTTGAAACTCCAGACAGGGACATTCAGTGGGTGGTGCAGGGCTGGAGTGCCCTTAATGTGGACCTTTAGAGGGCAGCAGGCAGCTATCATGGGATGATGTGCAAAGATGGGCCGTCACCACAGACATGACAGGAGAAAAAACTGACATGAAGAAGGAGCACTTGTAAACTGAGAAATGCTGTTTGCTTGTCAAATTAACAAAATCAATACCATAGGGGTTTTATTAAATTTGTTGTTGACAAGAGCCTTTCTTCAGATGAAACTGGTGCTCCTACTGGCTGCTTCACAATAATATTCACGACTGCTTCAAAAGCCTGTGTCTTGTGGAGATGCATGGAATCCAAATATTAGTGGTGCTTTTTCACAATGGTGAGTCATTATATCTTAATGGAATTAATTTGTTTTAAGGACTACTAGGGCTGGCACTTGTCACTGTGATCAATGTTTGATTGTCATCTTTGGGGAAAGTAGAGTTTATTCATCTCAGAGCAAGGGAGAAGATTATAGAATTGGATTTTCTTCAGGTGCAAATAAGAGATCAAATAAAACTCCATGGTGGACAAAAACATCATAGAGTCCAGTGGCACCTTCTTCTGCTTCCCTTTATCTCTGTGGCTGTCAGCATGATGGAAACATGTTATTTAAATGAACATGAGATTTGGATTACCTTTGCAGTTAGCCTACAGTATGTTTATTGCTATCTTCTAAGCTGTTGTTCTTTTCCTATAGAATGATTTCAGACATGGTACTTTGTTACTTATTACCCAAAAGCTTTAAAGAATCCCCACCTTTTACTAACAGATTTTAAAGGTGAAGATTGCCAGAACAAGTTAGTGTAGCTGTCCTCAATTGATCTCTCTTTGATAAAAGAGCTGGCACTAAACAAACCAAGAAAAGGTCTTGCCAAGCCTCTTCTGCCAGAGGCCAGCTGGAGCTCCACAGGGAGATAGTGAGTGTTAGTAAATGGAACAGGCTGACCAGCTAATGCAAATATGGTGATTAATGTATTGATGGTTTTATTTGGTGAAAATGGGAATCTTTATGTCTAATTATATAAAGCATGCCACACAAAGCTAATTTAAATGAGGCCAAGAAGCAAAATTACAATTTTCCTTACTCACAGTAAAGCTCTAACCTTAAAAAGGGTTCTAAGAGGCAGCAGATATTTCACTGACTTCCATGGTGTATCATAAAAGCTGTCGGTGTTTTTCTGTTGGAAAAATTMCCAAATAAATGAAGGTGCATTTTATTTTCTAAATTATTTTGTTTTTTAAACCACTTGCTAGTATTGTTACATCATGATGAATCAGAAGAGTGTCAAAGGTATGCTTTTATTTTAAGGAAAGTGATTTTAAGGACTCAATTAGGCAGAGATGAGAGGTATTGTTAGAAATGCCGCAGTCAAGCTTGAGGAGGAGAGACTGACTTAATTCCTTTTTTAAAGTCCCTGGATAAAATAAACCTCTGGACTCGTGGGTTTATGCCTCATCAAGCCTGCAGGAGCCTGTGCTGGTCGCAGAGAAGGCARGTGGTGGCCTCGCTGCCAACACTGACCACTGTGCTGAGCTTGCTGTTGATAGAGCAATGGATGGGGAAACTGGAGATGGGACTGATAATGGGGTTGTCATTCCAAGTACAGGTGGGGAGCTGAGCTGCTCCCAGGGATGCCCCTGACTTGCCTGTGGCAGTTTGCAGAGAAGGGAGAAGTGATTTCAGAGCTCAGATGTCTGGATGCCTGCCCCCATTCCACCCCTTGCCAACCCGACCCAACTCCTACATCGCCAAACCTGCCTCAGAGCCCAGGAAGGCTCAGGTCTGTGCTGAGGGAGACAATTCCACCCTCTGTGTCACAGACAGCCCATGGCTTGCATTGCCACTGCCACAGCCCATCTCAGCTAATGAAGGTGACTTTTCCAAAACTCAGATTTTGTACTAACTTAASCTTGAAAGGTCTTGCTGAATATGGCAGGAGCTAATACAAGCATTACATGCAGAGCAAGTTTGTGGTCTCTGAAACAGGCTGGTGATTTTCTCCTGTGATTCCAGCCAAGCCAAATGGTACAGGAGCACACCTGTATAAGGCTGTGCAGTTCTTGAGGTGCCAGAAAGATGGTGCTATGTTTGTTTTACTATTGCTATTCTCTGTAAATACAAATTTACTTCTAGAAGATTTCTTCACAGCACAAAATTTCTTTCTAGCCAGGGCAAAGTTATCTGGCAAGAGTAGAGTCCAGCTAAGACAAAGGTGCTGCAAAGCAGAGCATAATTTAATTGAAACAAGGTGAGGCTTAATGACTTGCAGGTCTGGTAGTGGTGGGTGGGGTTGACACAGCTGGTGATKATATTACTTGAGAGTCAAGGCAGCKGTGCCARTCATGCTGGYCTGTGSCTTGGGCTGTTTGTCTCTTCTACTCTGTCAGTCCTTGGGGCTGAGGAGTGAGAGGCCTCTGGATTTCCCGTGCTTTACTGAAGCTGGTTGGGTTCACTGAGATGTAGAAGTTTTGTCCAGCCAGGACCATCCTATGTATCCCTGGAGAAGGTATGAGGGTATTTTGGGCACCTCCCACATTGTTCCCTGTCTGAGGGTTTTTGTGACTGTTTTTCTGGTGCTTGTTTTAAGCTGTCAAYGCTTCAATTCAGTTCTCTGGGTGTAAGAGGGTGTCGAGAGTGTGTGTTTATGTGCACACACAGTGCCCTTTATGCTGCACAGTGTCCACAGCTTTTTAATCACTTGGAGTTCTGAAAGGCCTTCTGGTATGACACTGAATCAAAAATACTGTATTTGCCTGTGAGCTATCTACTCACTTGTGAGCACAGGGGGAGATGATGTGCTTAGCCAAAATCACAGTGCTTGTATCCTSTTGAGTGGGCTTTGGGAACGTGCCTGGATCAACGTGTGCTCCATCGTGAACCACATTCACTTCAGCTGCTGCCTGCAGAGACAGAGCTGCAGAGTTTGCATTGTGTGTGAGCACAATAGAAAAACGTGATAAAGCTCCTGTTCACGTCACCTTTCCTAGCTCAGGAGTTTGTGCTAGTGCCAAATGCACAAGTCTTGTCAAAAACATTGTTGTAGACATAGCCTTTAAATCATACATGTGCCTTCAAGGTGGGGCTGGCAATCATCCAGCCCTTCTGGGGGTTGTGTCAGCACGTTTGTGCTTTGCACAGAAGAATGAATCTCAGTGGTATTGCTTAGGCATTATTGCAGTGAAAAAATTGAATTATAATTGCACTAACAAGCATGAAAATGCAATAGATGTTCTTTCACTTGAAATTAAAGCTCAACAGAGCTCCTGCCTTCAGTATGCATATCATGCAAGTGCTGCAGTAGCACCAGTCTTTCTGTGGAGAGGAGAGGGAAAATTAATATTCAGCAATTGTTTTAATTAAGCTGATGCTACTGTAGAATTTCTTCTTTGTCTTTGGCTTATTCTTTGAAATGCAAATTTTTAAAAAGCAAAGAAATCAAGTGATGATAGTCAATATTTTTTCTCTGGGGCAGGAGAAGTTTTTAAAAAATAATTTTTTAAAACCTCTGTTCTCTTTATAATATTTTTTTTCTGTGGAAACACTAATAATATTTGCAGGGGAACAGTGTAGAGAAGTGTGCATGTGTCTGGAAATAAAGCTACAGGATTAAAGTAATGCCAACTACAGGAAGACATCTAATCTTTTTTCTGTCACCTCTTCTAATGCTCAAAGTTACTTTTCCTCTGAGGATGTCCCGCTAACCACCCAAACATTTCACCTTGTTGTCAGCCTCAATAAGTGCACTCTGCTATTTTCTCCCTCTGTGTTGCTGACCCTATGAAGGAGACAAATCCTTAGCAACCAGTGGTGTTTTCTGCTCAGTRCCACCTTTCCCTGTTGGGTCTATAAGAAGTGGCAGGGAAACCCAGCTAAAAGGAAAACTAGTAGAGGTCTAAAACGGAATATTAGCTGAACTCTGACTTGTCTTTCATTCTAAGAACAAATGGATTAAAAACTTGGTCCTTTGTCTCCTTCTKTATGATTAGTTTACCCTTATCAGTGAATGTTGATTAAAACTGAATTACACTTGGTCTTACCTATGGAGTTACACTAGAAAGGATGAAATCTGTTTTCTTGTCATCCCAGAGATGTCAGGAGATGTCCATACATTCTATAAACTTAAAAATTGTGGTTATTAATACTGAGCTAATCAGTATTTGAACTAATCAATCAATTTTCAGTAATGTACTATACAAAGGCACTCCAATTTGCCACAATTTGTCTTCCTGGAATAAAAATGTACAGGACTCTTCTTTTTACAATATATATAGAAAGTATGGTCCAGAATGGTGATTAAAATGGTTCATTTTATCATCATTCTGACTATTATTGCCTAGAGTATTGTGATACAGAATAAAGGTTCATATGCCACTAATAATGCCTTAAGAAGGGGTTGTCTGTTTATGAGGGAAAAAAGGCCATTTTGAATGTTCATGCATGGAGGCTGCATTTTCAAGAGTTATTACAAGTTCTAGGTGTTGGGGAACAAGCTACCTTCTTACCCAAAGCCAGCCTCATGTAAAGCAAAACATACCTAGTACTTCTTTTACTCCTTGAAGTATTTCACAGTACCTTCTCAGTGTGATAGCACTGGTACTGGAAAACAAATCTATGGGTGTTGCATAGCCTGCTGTCAGTGCAAAGGAGAGAGCAGGAGTGTGAGGAGAGGGTTGTGTCCTCAGGGAGTGCTGTGGTTTAAACCCTGGAGATCCAAGGGAATATCATGAGTGCTGTCAGCAACTTGGATTGTGAACTCTTAAAACAGCCACTCTTCATTGCAGAATACACACCCAGTGGGCTTCTAAACCTTTTCACAAAAATTATGTTAGTAAGGAAAGATACATTAGAAAGGAAGATATAGAATTGGATGGCTATTTTCTGGTGTGCATATAAGCCATGAGTTTTGTTTATCCAGTGTGGGCTGAACCATAGTGTTCTGCTAGGACTTAAAGCCCTGTGACCTTGATAGGTTATATACTGCTTACTGCTCCTCTAAGGCACAGTTTTTATAAAAGGGAAGGATTTAGAAAGGCAGGTTTGCTCTTGTGAAGAAGTTTTCTGTTTTTAAAATATTCCTTTTCACAAAATGATCCAGAAAAAGCCCTATGACAGAGGGCTGGAGTGTCCACCCCTCTGCTGGGTGTATACACGTGGTGAGTTGGGAAAGAACTGAGGTGATTTAGCTGCAGGTACTGTGTTGGCTGTAGCTGCAATCATCCATTCACTCAGCCACCAAAAGGACATTTTTGCTTCTGGATTTGACAGAGCCCGTATGTCTCTTGCTCCCCAGAAGCAGGGGACTGAAGACTTTTTCCTCCCTATCCTTTAATTTCCCTCCCTCCACTTTCACTGGACAGGAGGATTCCCTGGAACATCACAAAAACATCACAGAGTTTCCTTCTTCTCTCTGTGTTTTTGTTGTGTTTATGACTTCTCTGCCTTTCCTAATGGCAGGGTCCATTTAGGCACAAGCGTGGCTGAGGCATTGCACCACAGCCCTCAAACCAAGAGCCACCTCCAATATTCATGGTCAAAAGCACAGAGCACAGAGCTGGTGACCCAGTAATGAGAGAAAGAAGAATTCTTGTTCTGTCATTAAAACTGTGATTTCAGTCCAGATCTCTTTGGGCAATTACACAGCAATTTGCTTTATCTAATCTATTGCCCAGGACCTCCAGGCACACAGCAGCAGCCAATTTGTGCTCTGTGACAATCAGAAAGCGAAGTTTATTGTGTTAGAGATTGACTTGGGTTGATGTTGCACCAATCCTGTATTCCTATATTCTGTTGGCTTGTWTGCCCAAAATATCGGGTTCATTTGCCTTCCATCACTTTTCCAAATTGCTTGACAAATTAATATGTTTGATTACCCATGCTGTGAGGGGACTATAATGATKTAAGCCTCTTAAAGGTACATTTAAAAAAAAGAAGTGAATAATACCATGAATCACAGAATCACACTGGAAAAGATCTCTGAAATTGAGTCCAACCTATGACTTAACACCACCATGTCATGCAAATCATGGCACTAAGTGCTGTCAGGAAGCAAGCAGGAAACAACTCTTTCTGCACAAAAGCTAAGAGGTGTAGGACTGAATTTTAAGCTAGGAGTGTGTGATCTCAGTCTCCCATAGATTATAAATTGKCCCAGCTACAGCTGCTATTCTCCTGCATGTGGCTGCTGGGACTTGCAACAGAGGGGGGCCATCTCCTGTTGCCAGTTCCTGTTGCATCAATTTTGTGTCTAGATACGGGGAAATTTGAGGGATAGCTCATCTTTAACTAACCTACTTGTCTATGTTGTTGGAGCTTTGGGATGAGGTCCTTGTCTTGCATATTGCCTTGTTACAGTGGGAGATTGGGTGCCTTGCATTACAGCCAGCATCTGTCAGTGTTGGAAGGGCAGAAGCTCCCTTATACAAGAAATCTCTGTCATTCTTTGTATAGTAGGAACCTAGAAGAAAGAGAGCTTTCCTAAAAATTCATTTCTGCCTCGAAATACAGGAGAGAGCAGAGCAAGTGGGAACAATTTTTCCCCAGGAACTGAGTATGCTCAGGCTCAAGCACAACTGGGCTGCTTCCTGACAAGCTCTGAGAGCTGCTGTGGTTMTGTATCACTGTGATTGTACAAATGAACAAGCCACAGGGCTATATTTAATGCCCACCCATGTAAAGCATAACCTAACATCCCTACAGGACTTCTAAACTCTCAAAACCATAAAACTGCTCTTAAAATTTCCAAGAACTAGTATTCTGTGATTTGCAGTGTGTTTGTTTTTTGGTTGGTGGGTTTTGTTGTAGYTTTTTTTAATGAGCCAGAGAGTGGCTGCATCTAGTTTAATGTGAATTAGCCTCTTGTGGATTTCTGCTCATATAACAGGACAGAAGGAATCCCAAGTTTCTTATTAGTACTTTGAAATCCCATTAGTTTCTCTTTCAGACTTCAGGGAGCCATTTAAAGCCTATAGACATTTTAACATCGGTTGAACAAAGCTGGTAGTAAAACTCACCTAAGACTTSAGCACATGGTGAGCAGCATAAAGACAGGTGTTCTTCTTTCTATTTGTGTTGGTAAGCCTAAAAGTGTGTCCTGAATGATTTTGCTTTTGTTGTTTATTATCCATTTACCATGATTTTTTCTTGTTACAAGGCAGAAGAGCCTCTCCTGAGCCTTTCAAATCCAGCTGTGCAGAGAGTAAAGACTTGCCATGGGCTTGACCCAGATTTCAGGTTCAGGTCGGTGCTCACCCATTCTTTCAAGGTCTGTTGGTGCTATGGCTGCAATACCAGGACTCAAAGGAAAAAAAACAAAACAACCCAGCACTAGGTCGCCTTGGCTTCTTATGTAAATTCATTGAGTTTCTCYAGATGCCTGGACAATGTTCTGATTTCTAAAATTCTGTATCAAAACCAAAATTATATTGGTGTTCAAGAAGTCTTTGTAATAACATTGGAGCAAAATAATTTCTTCTTGTGAAAGTTTCCAAGATATTTTCTTTTTAGTCTCTTTTTGGAATGGAAACACACTTCGAAGTCCATGGTTTCCTCAGGGAGAAGGAACTCCTTTTCAATCAGTTCTACAGAGAACGGTCTTCTTGGAGCCTTGGATCCAACTCCTTCTTTTACAGATGCAGACATAAAGGTAAAATTTGTAGGGATAAATTCACTAGTTTGGGCTCCTCTAGTTCTTAATGGAAATCTCCTCTGCCCTTCCATCCTCTTTCCCAAACTTGCTGAAATTAAAGCTCTTTGTAAGTACAGTCTTAAACATGAAGTCTTTAGCTTGCTGTGCAGGAGGAGGAGAAGATATGTTGAACCATCTTTAGGCTGCAGCTCTGAACTCTGCTCCCTTTTTTCTTTCTGGAAAGCTTTTTGCAGGTTTATAAATGACTAGTCATGAGCCAAAATCACAAATATACTTGACCCCAAGAGGGTCTTGAAAGTAATATTCTTTAAAAAATTATTCACAGCACTCCTAACACCCATCATAGCCTGAGTATATGATCGTATCCCAAGCAGTCATGATTTCCCCTTCTTAACATCTGTTCAAGAGAACCCCTGGGCTAATCCTTCAGAGATAATGAGCAGAATGGTGGTAGTCATAGAAACTGTGCTTAAAGATCTGTGTTTTGCACAAACTCCATAGTATGGCTAATATGCAGGTGATGGAAATCTGTTTCAGCCCTGAATGAAGCACTTTCATTTCATTATCTTTAAGCAAGCTTGTTCTTTAGCCAGGGTCTTTGGTAATGAAGCTAAGGGGAAATTCTGAACACAGTATTTGCTGTCTATTGGTAAAGCCCTCTTATATAAAGTAASGTTGGTTAGACCAGGTTGTGCAGGGCTTGATGCAGTTGAGTTTTGAAGCTTCCCAGGGAGAATGCCTGCGAGCCCTCTGAGCACTTCTTCCTGTGCTCGAGAAGTTCATCACAACAGAAGTGGTTACCTTGAGGCTTTCGCTCCTGYAATTTGTGACAATTGCTTCTTGTCCTTTTGTGCTGCACCTTGAGCAWTTGAAACTAGCCTTGCTTTGAGCAGGAGGTTGAACTGCAAGGTATCAAAAGGACTAACACATATTTTTCTGTGATTCTGTAAAAAGGAGGCAAGGAACACATTGCTTCAGGTCATGCAACAAACYTGTGTTCAAGTCTGGAACATGCATTGTCTACTTTCAAACTCTTGTGGCATGGAGTAGCCTGTATTGCTCTTCTGGTGGAACAATATTTCCCTGAGGAGCCTTATTTGAGAACRTTCATGATCTAATAATAAACAACTCTTTGTTCTCTCTTCTTAAAAACCATAAGGGGATAGGCAAGAATATTTAAACCTTAATAGTTCCCGAGTATCCTAAAGAAGTGATGTCTTTTAAGCCCTGTGCTTTTGTTGTGGAACTGTGTCTGTGTGGAGTAGGAGCGCCGCCCCCCCCCACGGTTCTAAGAGGATCTTTCTTTTCTCTAAAGATATTTTTCTTCTGAGAGAGTAATGGTTAAGGTGTATCTGCATTCCTGGAAGTTCTGTTTTAAAACAGAAATAGTAAGTATATTCAAATGCTATATATTCCGTGAATCTGGCTTAGTAATTACAGATATTATTAAAATTTATTAAGTCATGTGGCAATTAACCTGCACCAACTCCAAGACTTGGATGGGTGGAGAGGAGCCCAACAAACTCCCATCTGTATTGAACTTTTGAATAACTTCTTATTATCGGATTCCTGCAGACGTTTCTTGTAAACTGCATTTTCTGTTTTCCCTTTGCTCCACAGTACAAAATGTGTGCATTTACACTGCCCAACCCCTTCTAGCTTAGCCAGCCACCTGTGCTGTGCTGATCAGGCTCAAGAAATACAAAACAGGTTTGTTTTTTCCATCTTGGCAGAGCCCTTGACTGCACTATCAGGTACCCTAAAATAAAATAAAAATAAATCAGCAATTCTGCAGATTAAAATAAATTAAAGGAAGAAATAAGAAATAATTATTGGCCATGACTGTGATTAGGCAGCAATCCTTGCAGCATGTCCTTGCCTCTAGCAAAGGTCCTAGTCCTGGAAAGGGAGGGATACCATGCACAGGAGTAAGGCTGTTGGCAAGGGASTTGGTGGCAAATGTGGCCCTCATCTCTTGTGCAAGACCAGGGGTGGGCTAGATCGCTCTGTGTCTCAATGTGCTCTCCCCACTCCAGCTCTGGAGATGCATGCCAGCACTCTTGCTTTGCTGCAGGTCTTGGGAAGGCTGCTGCATTTATAAATCCAACAGCTTGGCTCAGGCTCTCTGAATGGACCCRTTGCATCTTTGGCCACATCCTCCTGCAAGCACTTCCACACCTGATTCTTTAGTTAAGAATATCCATTTCTTAAGATCAAGATAGTTTTTTTATTGCTTCATCTTGTCTGAAGCTRTGGATCTGTCTTCTGTGGGTCTAAGCATTATGAGATGACTTGGACCTTACTGACCTTATGTTTTTACTATAGGAAAAATATGGGGAAATGGCAGGTATAATCTGTGAAGCTGGGAAAGCTAGACACGGCTGCTCGGTGCCTGAAATAAGCCTTACTCTTGGTGTCAAGATGGACAGCAAGGCTTGAAGTTTTGGTGGTTTTCCTTTTCTTTTCCTTTTCTTTTCCTTTTTTTTTCTTTTTAATCCCCTACAGTTTACTCCAATAGAATTGAAGCCTGAATGTGAAAGGAAAGGGGACAGAGAAATGAAGGAGGGGGTTGGTGTTGTTTGTATGGTTTTTAAATTTCTTTCTTATTGCTTGAAAGGTGATGTGTGTGTGTGCATGTTTTCAGTTATCCAAATTTACTGGRAGGTGCTAAGCTGTCCCCCTGGCATCTTTGAAATCCTAATGCTGAGTTATTTTAATGATGTTTCTAAGCATCAAAGTGATTATGCAAATATGAGTTAGGTGGAACAGATTTAAGTCTGCTCTTTCATGGGGAATAACTCTTGATTATGGAACAAACTTCTTCAAGATCAGCTTGGTAAAACTTAACTAAGTTACATGAGGACAGTCATAATGGAAAAATAACTTCCTAATGGACCTCATTCACTGCTGAGCTCTCATTAAGATACAGCCTGTTTCCTCTGAGAGGGCAGGGGATGGGGGAGAAAGCCACAGTGCACCTCTGCTGATTGTAGGGACTCTTAGCTCAATATGGGCACTGATTCTCRTTCCTTCTGTAGACCTGTGGGCTAGAGGAGCTGTTTAGATTTGGCCTGAAGATGTTTGTAAAATAAACTTGTCTCCTCAGTTGAGGACAGCAACCCCATTCACCATAAAAAGCTCTGCTGGTGACAGTGGCCCCTTTCTAATCCATTTCAAAGAGTGAGAAGCTCTGAGCTGTGGCTGAGGAGAGGTGCCCCCCCTGGACCTTGTTTCAGGTGTTGACCATGCTTGATCTCTGCCTGTCCTCTGCTGCTAGAGGCTACTGACCACTTTGCTTTCCTGCATTGCCTGATAACATGAACATCAGGTGTGGCAAAATCACCTGGGTTAGTCTCAGCTCCCCTGAGGTGCTTGGATGCCTTGGATGTTGAGTTGTCTCATTTGGCATTTGCCATCCGTTAACGAGGTCCCTGATGTGCTGCTGCTGAGCACTGACAGAGCCACCAAAGCTGCAGTCATCAGCAGTTCCAGCAGCAGCACAATCTCCRAAGGCCTCAGGTGGGGTTTTAAACCCACCCCACTGGCACCCACCAGATTGTCACTGGTGTCCCCAGAGAAAATGAAAACAAGAGGTGGTCAGCCAAACCCCCTAAATCTTGGGAGGTTTGTAGGAAGGGTTATGTCCAAACCACTGTGCTGACCAGGTTGAGATGCTTCTGCTCTATCCCCCCCACACAAGAGGGTGCCCTAATCCCATGTCTACCGGTGACCTGCCTTTACTCCAACTGTGCAAAACAGCTTCTGACTATCACTCAGATACCTCCCTCTTCTCATTAGAGGAATCAAAGCTAGTTTTAAGCTGTTTGCTGTACGCTGATGGCCCTAATGAAGGAAAAGATCAAGATAATGTTGCTGTCTTGTCCATAAAGTCTGCTTGAAAGYGCAGTGTGAGGCTCACATGCACTGAAAAACAAATTTATTAGTGATCCAGTTCYACTGATGAAGATCATGAGAGGAGTTCAGGTACAAAACTTCATTCCTTGAATCCTCATCACTGCTCCTTGAATATTTTGATAAGAAATACGAGGYTATGGAAAGAAATAAAAGAGAGACAAAATTTTTGAAGTGTCTCTRGCAACTTGTCTACTATGTAATGCACAGCTGACAAGTGAGGTAACTTTTAACCTGCACTTCATTAGCTATGTTTCAGGRAACTTAGTAATTTATATCTTGCTTCTTTAAGAATGTTTCTCAATATTGGAAGGAAGAGCACATTTTTCCCCCCAACTTTTTTATTCTAAACCTTCCATCATCCTATGTGTGGCAACCTAGCGATGGAATAACCCCCAATTACAATACAGAAAACCTTTGTGTAATTAAACTCACTGGTTGGAAGGGGGGGTTTTGTGGGGGTTCTTTTTATTTTTAATCAATTCTAAATTGACCAATTCTAACTTCTAGAGGTACAACACCAAACCTCATTTACTTAGTTTTCCTATTAACAAACCCCAAACCAACCAGGATATTGGACTGGAAGAATTCACTTTAGTGGTGGACTTATTCCTTCAGAAAGTTAATAATGCATAGTATGTGGAACACAATATTTAGAGTCTGTTGTTGTTAATACTGA